TTTGCTTTGCAGAGATTTGGAACACTGCTTATTTTTGCAAATGTGTCGTATTATTTATCCTTTCCAGATGGGTTGTGTGATACTTTTTTATTTTCAGTGAAGTGCGGGTTGAGGGCTTGGAGACACTTGACTACTTTGACAATTTGTCGCAAAGAGAGAGGTACACAGAGCAGGCAGATGCAATTACTTTTGACGGTGAGGTAATGTGTTTTCTATTTGATCTCCCATAGCTTAGTCAAATTTATATATTAGGTTTAAGATTGGTTTTCCAGAGGAAGATTTTTTTTATCTCAATATTTTTCTTGGCAAAGATTCTTCTGAAATTTAAAATATTCTCAAGCACTTGCTCATATGTTGCTTGCGTATTGGTAGATTGATCGAGTGTATTTGAGCACCCCGACAAAGATAGCCATAATAGACCATGAGAAGAAGAGAACTTATGAGATTCGCAAAGAGGGCATGCCCGATGCAGGTTCTTACAGTCATCTCATTTCCCCTTTCATGTTGTGATTTAAGTTTTGTGGTCACTTTCATGATTTTTATGTTTTTATTGTTTTTTTACAGTTTTATGGAATCCCTGGGATAAAAAAGCGAAGGCTCTTCCCGACTTGGGTGATGAAGATTACAAAACAATGTTATGTGTGCACTCTGCTTCTATTGAAACCCCAATTGTTTTGAAACCAATGGAAGAGTGGAAGGGTCGTCAGGAGCTCTCGACTGTCTCATCAAGTTATTGCAGCGGACAATTGGATCCTAGGAAAGTCCTTGGCTTCAGTTATTGACTTGTGGGCACCTGAGGTTCTGTCATCACTTATCATTGTCCATTTTGTATAATAGTTCATTTCATTTTGCTTCGTTATGTTCTTTTTTATGCAGACAACTATTTCTGCATCTAAATATTAGTGACTTGAGAAATATATACATATAACTATATGTGGGTGCATATAATAGGATTATTTTCATTGAATGAGCTTCTCATCTTCCTATTCGGTTTATCGTATTCTGATGGCTGCTTTTGGGTTTAACGTTGTGAAGAGAACTATGGTCATTATGTCACAACATTTTTACATGATTATGGAAACATGTATGAAAAGAGAAAAAACATTGGGTTTTCCTTATTATATCAAGTGCAGAAATGCGCAGGTTACATACCTGAACTGCAACTAGAAAAAGCATTAAAAGTTAAAACAGTCCCATGAAGAGGATAGCAATAAACTTCCTTCTCATCACTACTTATTTATATTATTCCTAAGCACTGGAAATCAGCCTTAGGAATTATTCCTCACACAAACCTTGTTATTATTCATCCTCAGGTCCTTAGAAAAGAGAAAGAAGGGATGCCCCGAATTTTTCCTTTGCTTCTTTGTCAAGGGGATCGTCTCCCAAATACATATGTATGTATGCCCTGCAGAGCAACTCACTTTCGACTGTGCTCACAACCTCATTCATAACTGCATATCAGGGAAACATCTATTAGTTTATTTGGACTTGTATTTTTTTACTTGAAATCGAAATGTCTAATATTGTTTTTACCTTTTGTTTGGAGAGTATATCCTGGAAGCCTGGATATCTCAATCACAGATCCTGGGGTAAGCTTTATGTCATCCAACGCTTCTCCCATAATCCTGAAAATTTGATTGATAAATATGGTCATCTTTTCGGATTATGGTTTTTTTTAAAAAAAAAAATCTTTAATTTTTCAGCCTGTCGACATTTATTAAATTTTTTGAGTAGTTAAATTTTACTTCTTCGTGAGCTTATCGTTCTTCCCTCCCGTAAGCTTCTTGATGGATGCTCCCAGGCCTTCATCAAAGTTCTTCCTCACCATGCTCATGGTAAGTCCGGAGAAAACAATAACCAGTCGAACCATCATATCCACATCGCTATCTATCACGATTTGATACATTTCCTTTGTTGCTTTGGATGGTGTTTTTCCGACTTTCGTACTCAGAAGGTCTTTCATTTTCTCATTGTCTGCATATATCCCTGAAAATCATAATGCAAGATAAATGGCAATTAAGTTTCTTCTTCTTTTTTTTTTTTTTTTTTTGTTCCTGAAAACCAAACTTGAGTTTATTCCCAAGTGTTTGATAAATCTTGCTAGCTAATGAGAAATTACCAAAGGCGTATATCTTGATCCCGATCCCGAGCATGCTTTTCTTCCTCAGGCCAACAGAATTCAGCTTCTTCCCATTGATCAGCATGACCGGAAAAGTAATTCCGGTTTTCTGTTCAGCCTCGACCGGTACATCCTTCTCGTTTTCTAAGGCATCTTCTTTCGGTTCCTCTTGCTCGACCTTCTTATCTTCTTTCTCGTCCGTTTTTTTCTCGGTCTCACATTCAAACGGCTTCTCCTTTTCATGGGCATTTTTATTCGACGTGAGCTCTGTCTCGTTTGGGCTGTCTTTCATTCGGGTTTTCTCTGCAACATTAGTAACAGTGGGTGCCATTTTTTGAGTTGAAGCAAGGAAAGTGATATAGTTTAGTTAGTATTTTTATTGTTTTGTGGGATGATTGGGGAACTAAGGTAGAGATTTTTGTTTATATATATGGAGTGATTGTTGAGAAATTTGAGGCGCATTAAAGTTGCCGTTATTATGGGTGTACCTCGGTAAGAGCATTTGTGATAGAGGGACGTTGAAGATTTGAATGCCTGAGCTCATTCAATGTCGTTCACAAGAAAATTTATTTGTTTTGGGATGGCTACCATTTTAGGTATCAAAATTTATTGGGTGATGCTACATAGCCACCCTCCATTACAACATGGTTTACAACCATGTGTAATAGAGACATTAAAAAAAGTGCAATAATGCATACGAAGGTCCTGGTGCTCACTTTCGAGATGCTCTCTCCAGACATGGTTGTAAACCATGTTGTAATGGATAGGGCTGAGCATGGACTCGGAGAATTCTGAACCGTTCCGAAAATCGAACCGAAATCACTCCGAACCGAAAAATAACCGTTGACCGTTTGACTTTCTCCGAACCTTCAAAAATATTCGTACCGAGAACCGAACCGAACTGTCCCATACCGTACTGAACCGAAGAACCGAAATTAAGAACCGAATTATAACATTATATGTGTTATTAATATATTTTATGTCACCTTTGATCCTTTATAATATAGTAATAATAACTATTAACCTTCACTTAACTTTCATGCTTAATACTTGATCTACAATTGAATTTTTTCTATTATAAAATAATTATTTAAAGGGTAAATAATTTTATGCAACCTGTACTAAGCGCGAATTTGAGATTTGCAACCTAAAGAATATTTTGTATTAAATTGCAACCTTTAATACACGACTTTGCCTGTATCGCAACCTCCGGCCATCGGGCGCTCGTTTTCCACCGGAAAAGTGAGCGTGCGACTATTTTGAGGGTAAATTTGCCATTTTGCTCCACGTGGGGTCTGATTATATACTATTCTGTCTTCTTCTCTCCTCCACCAAATTCTCCAAATTTTCCGGCCAAGTTTCTTCATTTCCCCAAATTCTCTGTTGTAGTTGTGCCCCAACCCGCCGCCATCGCCGAAATAGCATATTACCCTGTTTGAGTTTTTCTTTTATCGGTGGTTCTCTAGGCAGAACACTCTTTTTGGGGGTGTTTGCTTTTAGGGTTTTGACGAAGAAAGATCAGATCTTGAAGCGGGTAGAGGAGCCGGATCCCGGAGGGGGTTTGTAAATGAAAAGCAGGACTCGACCCAGGCGGTGACCTCGGGCATATTTCAGATCACCACGGCGGTTTCCACTTTCCAGCGCTTCGTCAACGCCCACGCCCAAGGACACGCCTGAGCTCCGTGAAAAGCTGTTTGTTTCCACTATCATGGGCTTTAAGCCAATCTATGTGTTTTGTTGGATCATGAAGTGTAATTCTGTTGATATTTTCGAATATTTAGTCTTAATTGAGTGAACTTATCACTGACGTGTGGTTTTTGGACCAATTGGTCCATATGGAGCCGATAGAGGGTAATTGTGTGCACTCAGCATGATTTTTGTTGGATCATGAAGTGTAATTTTGTTCATCTTTTACTTTTCTGTGAAATGACACAATTGTCCTTTAAATGTAATGCAAAATGGCAAATTTAACCTCAAAATTGGAGCGTGCGACTCGCACGCTCGCTTTTCCGGTGGAAAACGAGCGCCCGATGATCGGAGGTTGCGATACAGGCAAAGTCGTGTATTAAAGGTTGCAATTTAGTACAAAATATTCTTTAGGTTGCAAATCTCAAATTCGTGCTTAGTACATGTTGCATAAAATTATTTACCCTTATTTAAAATAATATGAAAGTTTAAAAAATATTTTTTTAAAAAAAAAATATTATATTTTGTTTGAATTTTAAATTTTCAATATTAGTTGCACAAATTTAGTTTTAACTAAAATTTAGAGTTACTTCTAAAGTTGATTTCAAAATAAAATTTTTAATATGAGGAAGTATTGATGAATGTTGGTTTTATTAAAGCATATAAAACTTAAAGGGAAATTTTTACCCCTCCTACTAGATATTAAAGTATTTTCAATTTTAGCTTAATGAAAAAATATTTTCATTTATACCTAAACCAGCTATTTTATTTAAGAGATTGCATCAATTCAGTTATCTCTTGTAACGTTCTCAGTTCACAATGACCTGCGTGATTTTTGCCATTTCAACCAGAAACAAAAAAAAAAAAAAAAAA